TTTTTTTTTTTTTTTTTTTTTTTTTTTTTTTTTTTGTCTTTTGTCTTTTTTTTCCGTGTCCAGCAACGGATCGCAACCCTCAGTGTTGCCCCCGTACCGGACCGGGGACCGGCAACGGGATCGCAAGCCTCGGTGTTGCTCCCGCGCCTCGCTCAGCCAGTGAGCAGGAGCCGGTCTGTATGTGGGATCCGAACCCTCGGACAGGAGCGCCGCCGCGCTTCCCAAGCGGCGCACTATCCAGTGCGCCACCGGGCCGGCCCAAAGTGTTTACTTTCGAGTCAGTCTTATTATGACTCTGATTCTTTTTTCAATAATAGTTTTTTTTCTATCCTGAGTAATGTGCAAATTATTTTTAAAAAGATAATCTCTCAGGTTTCTAGCATTATACTAAATTATTTTTTTATACTGTTACTTAAACATTTGTATGTTTAAAGCTCTTATGTAATATAAAGCAAAAATAAGTTTATAAATTAAATACGAACAGAAAAATACTTAAAAATAACAGCAACAACATAATGTGATGAATGATGTTGTTTTGCTAAAACTAAACTCCTATAATGTGAATATGGCATTAATGTGCTATGGCACAGTTTTTTTGTTTTTTTGTTTTTTATGGCAGGTATTATATTCCTCCACCATTTCCACTCTCCAAAAAAAATAAATAAATAAAAAATGAACAGCATCATGGAATTTGGGAACTCTGTTACTTATGGAACAACTGAAGGACCATCCATTTGTCCACTAGATTGCAAATTCCATGCAGGCAGAACTATGTGTGTCTTATTTTCCAGTATTTACTCCATGACACAAAACGTTTATGCAATAAATGTTTTCTGAATGAAAAGTGGAGAAATGTAATTCTGAACTCAATATATGTATATGCCATATGCATACTTGAACATACCTTCATTCCTTAAATATTATCAAATATGTTGATTTGTTGGGTTTTTTTTTAAATCTATATTCCAGACTCAAGAGACTAAGTATTCTTTTCTTTCAAGAACCACTGACCCATACAGGGAGGAAAAACTGAGTAAACTATGTAACTTTGTTTCTGAAAATGGGTTTCTTCCATCCTATAAACAACCAAATAATGTACAAGGTTCCATTTAATAAATAAAGCATATTAAAATACATTTTAACCAAAGGAGAAAGGAAGAGCAGCAAAGAAAGGTATAAAATGTGAGGAGGAAGCAATAGGAAAAGAGGCGGTGGTAGAAAGAAAAAGGGAAAGACAAATGAGATTCTACATACTGTCCTTTTTAAAAACCTCAGTAATTCCAAAATGACTCGGAATTTATTTGCCAAAGAAATTTAGACAAGTTACTCCTTAAACAAGTAACTCACAAAAGTGATATCTAAGTACCTGGCATTTCTTAAGCTCCCTCCTGAGCTGGAGAAGTCTAATACGCTGTTCTCCTTCTTCCAGGTTTCCGGTTTCTTGGTTTTCTCGGAAAGAGGTAAGGACAGGCTTCCCGACCTCCCGGGTCATCTTAAGCCACTCCTGCAGTTTGTGTTGCTGATTTTGGTTTAGTCTGACAGCACCTTTTAAGTCAACCAGGAAGTTAAAGACTTCTTCTATACAATTTTGGTAACCCAGACATTCTTCTTGTAGCTCAGCTACTCGCTCCTCAAGAGAATGGATCCTATTTTTATCAGGAGTCCCCTCTCGATGGATCTCGCTAGTTTGGCTGATACTAGTCTGCTGGCTTTGTAAAGCTTTTCGAAGCAACTTAATCTCAAATTCCATTTCGTCCATACGGTCTGACTCGGGGCTGAAGTTTACGGTAGGTTTGTTTCTAATGTTCCGTGCTCTGCTGGCATATTTGAGAGCATTTAAGGACTCATCAAAATCTGAGGAAGATGGGCTGACACATGTGATCATGACAGTCTTGGCACTGCCTCCCAGGGAATCTTTCAGAAGCCGGGTGATTTTAGCATCCCTGTACGGAATATGTGAACTCTTCCTGCGTCGGTCCCCAAGAGCACTTATAACATTTCCTAAAGCTAGCAACCCACTGTTGATTTGAATGGACTCTTTGAACCGTTCACCAGTATTCCCTGTTTTGGTTACTCTTTTTAATCCAGCCAAATCCACGAAGTGGAACTTTGAGACGATATGGCAATGGGAATACCATGATGCATCTTTAGCTGCCTCCATATTTTTCTTAACTTGGCGAATGCTGATTGTAAAAATTGCATGTGATCTACTGGAGTGCTCATTCATTTGGGTGGTACCTGTATGTCTCGCTGCATTCCCCATCTCCAGAAGGCTCATCACTTCATCTGCATTCTCCACATGGCATTCCTTGGCTCCAACAATCACTTAAAATAGCAATAGCAAGATTTTAACCAAAGTTTTCATCAAAATCCAGTATAGTTAAATTAACCACACAACAGTATCCATTTGCTAAATAGCCAGCCAACATAGCCCCTTTAAAAAAAAATCAACAGCATTTCAAACAATAGTACCATAGACAACATCATTAAATAATTTTAGATAATCTTCCAAAGGACCTGTTTTAACAGAAAGAACTCATTTTGATGTTTAAATTCTAAAAGGTGTCATACTTTTTAAAAAATCAATTTTCTTTGGAGTTACACATCACACTCAATTCTTTAAAATGACTGACAAAAAAACCCTCTTTATTCTAATATTTTGATTTATTCAGTCTAGTAGATTAATAAAAGATAATAGATTATATAATTCAACAGAGTTAATCAGTTGTAGATCAATTAAAAGAAATTAGTTTCTTTTCAGTTTCATTAATATTCAAGCCATCTTTAGCTTTAAGGATTTTTGGTATTATGGAATCATAATCAATAATAAATGAAAAATCCAGTTTGAAAATGGATATGCCCTACATAATTGAGTACAAAATAAACAGATGAGATAGCAATTCAAAAAAAGCAAAAAAGTTTCTATCTCAGTGGTGGAATAAGGACCAAAAATAATCTAAGCTTACTACCTGCATTCTTAGCACTGTGGTTCTCAAACGTAGCTGCAAATCACCTGGTAGCTTATAAAAAAGAAAGTAGCGATGACCAGGCTCCACCCCAGACCAATTAAATCAGAACCACTGAGAAGCTTTTTTAAAAGCTCCCTAGGTGATGCTAATTGTGCAGCAGCCAAGGTGAACACTGCTTCACATAGAGGTACTACAGAAAAAAGTCAAACAAATGCACTTTGATTATGAGTGGGACATTATACAAGACACATGACAGTTTGTCTTAAGATAATTTGTTACATCCTTCCAAAATGTTTTGCAGGATTTATATTAGCTATGGAATATTTGGATCATTATCGGGAGTGGTAGCGTATACTTCTATACTGTTTGATGTTTTATGATAAATGTAGGAGTTTTCGTAACTTTTTGATAAAAGATAAAAACATTCAATAATTACATTCCATAAGATACAGAAGCCCAAAACAAAGATGAACTGTTCAATAATTATGTAACAATACTATAAAGTACCATGTATACTTTCTTCCTAAAAAATAAAACAAAAAACAATTTCTTCAAACATCCAGGAATGCCAAGGCTACTAGGACATTGCCATGGAGGCAAGATTTACTGCTCCCTGCAGGCTTCCACTTGAATGACAACAGACATCTTACTTTCCTAACTGCTAGAAATGCCCCCTACGGAGTCAGTCACTCCTCTGGCACGATTCTTTACCTCTAGGAAGGTTCGACTAAATGTGTTTTCTAGGAGAGGAAGATATCCAAGAACAGTCCAAGAACAATGTTAATAATAATAGGGAAATCCTGAAAACAGCTTAAACGTCCAATAATGGACTATTAGTTAAATAAATTGTTATAATACATTCATGAGAAAAATTACCACGACCACAAAGAGTCATAAATATATAATATATTAAGTGAAATAATATAAATATTAAGTGAAAAAATGAAGTGCAAAACTATATGTGGGTTGCATGTATATTTTTTAAAAAATAATTATATGTGTACAGAAAAAGAAATCTGGAAGGAAACACACCAAAAAGAGAAGTTGCTATTTCTAGAATCCAGGATTAAAGACGATCTTTAATTTTCTTCCCTATTATTTTTCTGTTTTCAAATGTTCTATAAAGAAAACATTACCTTTTAAGAAGAAAAGCATTATTCTTTAAAATACTTGCATTTTGACCCTCCCATACTACTCTCATTCCCAAACACATAGGTATTAATTGAGATTAACAGGTTGCTAGCACAGAAAATCAGAGAAGTCAACCTGTTTGTTGAGAAGCACACCAAACAGGTAAATAAATGTCAATATGGATAAGAAAACCATAAACTCTCTAAAAGAGAGGGAGAAGAAGAAATAGGAGTGCTGGGACAAAAATCAAAGATGAAGAAAGGAAAGTGCTGGGTCGAGCTGGATGAACACCTAAGAGAAAAAGCTATCCCCATGCCGGTACCTCTGGGAGAAAAAAAAACATACAAAAACAAACTTAGCCTGTATCACGAGAAGAAGAAATAGGAGTGCTGGGACAAAAATCAAAGATGAAGAAAGGAAAGTGCTGGGTCAAGCTGGATGAACACCTAAGAGAAAAAGCTATCCCCATGCCGGTAGCTCTGGGAGAAAAAAAAACATACAAAAACAAACTTAGCCTGTATCAGAGTCTCACTTAAGGTCAATCCAGAGGGGAGCAATTACAGGAAACAAACATCTTGAATTACAAATTAGTAACTTTACCTTGCCTGAACTTCTGCTTTTTCACCTGAGTGATTTCACTGATAATCAACAAGCTGTTTGATTTTAAAGTAAAAACAAATTCGTTTTGCTTGTATGTCTTTCTTTTAAAGATTCTTTGTACTACATCCAGAAACTGAATTCAATGATCTCTGTTTGCTAATGAAGGCTATCAATAAAGTAAGCTACTTTACCTGTGTTTCCTTTTTCATCTTCTCGAATATGAAGATCCTTCATGGATGTCTCCAATTCTAAAAGATCTCTTAGATCTTCCTTGTATACTTCTATATAAGACACTTTAATACTAAAGTCAATGCTAGGATTTTCACTGATGTTTTGAAATATTTCTTGAATGGCTCGAGGAATAATACCCTTTTGACCCTCCACAACTGAAGCTGAAAATTTAGAAAAGAAAACAGATCTAGAACTTTAAATATCAGAAAAACTATAACTCAAAATTAACAGTTAAATTTATTTTCTTATATTTCTCTATATTATAAATTTTTAAAAACCACAACTATAAAATTCATAGGTAAAAGTTTTCACTTGCATCCCTTACTCAGAATTCACAGGCAGTCATTCAACAAATATTTATTTGGTACCTACCATGTGCCGGGCACTATTCTAGGACCCTGGGAACCATCAGTGAACAAGACGGGGGGTGGGGGTGGGGGAAATCCTAGCCCTTGTGGGATTCTACTGAGGAGAGAAAGACAACAGCAAAAAAGAATAACTGATAACTGAATCACATGGTATATTAAAAGGAGGTAAGTGTCCCTAGAGAAAAAAATAGAGCAAGGTTACGGGAACTGGAAATGTGACTATATAGTGGGTGGGAGGTGCTTGCAACTTTAAATAAGAGGGTCCTGATGGGCACCATTGAGAAACTGACATTTCAGCAAAGACTTTAAAGAGGTGGCAGGGGGTCCATGTGGGTTTCTAAGGAAAGAGCATCCCAGGCAGAGGGAACAGCCAGTGTGAAGGCACTAAACCGGTATAATCCATAAACAAGGAGGCCAGCGTGGCAGGAGATGAGGTTGTGAGGTGACAGAAGAGAGATCATGTGGGCCCTTGTAGACCACTGTACACTTTGGATTTTATTGAGTGAGATGACAGCCATTGGAGTAGAGTAATAACTCACTCTTACCTAGGGTTTTAAAAGACCGCTCTGGCTGTTGTGTTCTGCAGGAGTGGAAGTGGGTAGCCCACTTAGGAGGACACTGCAGTAATCCACCGAGATTTGAGCAAAGACTTTAAAGAGGTGGCAGGGGGTCCATGTGGGTTTCTAAGGAAAGAGCATCCCAGGCAGAGGGAACAGCCAGTGTGAAGGCACTAAACTGGTATAATCCATAAACAAGGAGGCCAGCGTGGCAGGAGATGAGGTTGTGAGGTGACAGAAGAGAGATCATGTGGGCCCTTGTAAACCACTGTACACTTTGGATTTTATTGAGTGAGATGACAGCCATTGGAGTAGAGTAATAACTCACTCTTACCTGGGATTTTAAAAGACCGCTCTGGCTGTTGTGTTCTGCAGGAGTGGAAGTGGGCAGCCCCCTTAGGAGGACACTGCAGTAATCCGTGAGTCAGGGGGTGAGGGGATAGACAGGATGGTGGTTCATATCAGGATGGTAGCTGGATTCTGGATTTATGTTCAAGGCAGAGCCATTAAGATTCCCTGACAGACCATTTAGACTTCCAGGATATGGAACCTGAGAGAAAGCAATGAGTGAAGGATGACTCCAAGGTTTTGTCTTGGGCCATTAGAGCTGCCATCAACTGATCTGGGGAAGAGTGGGTGTTGAATTGGCTTGAGAGGGAAATAGCAGTTCAGCGTTTGACCAATTAAGTTTGAGATGTCTATTAGGTTTCACTTGGGAAGGTTGAATAGACAGTGGATCTATGATTCCAGAGTTCAAGACAGTAGTCTGAACTGGAAGTAAAAAATTGAAAGTCAGCTACATATAGATGGTATTTGATGTCATGAGGCTGGATGAGATCAAAAAATGAAAAAGGAGAGAAGAGCACCAAAGAGTGAGCCCTGACGCACTTCATTTATTGGTTCATTTTTAAGGAACCAGCAAGAAAGCCTGAGGAGCAAACAGTTAAGTAGAAGNAGGACTTTATGGTGAGTGGTAACTCTCCACAGCAATGGAGGGTCTCAGATGGTGAAAATGCTTGGACAGAACCTCCTTTAAGTTTCTTCCAGCCTCTCTTCTTGTTCCAACTGGATTTCATCAAGTTTGGTGATGTGAAAGCCTAATGTGGCATGTTGCTCTAGTTCTCCAGCATCACTTTCCTGTACAGCTTTCTCTGAAACATCTTTTAATCGTGGCTGATGTTCTGGGGTCTCACACACACTCGGGCCTTCCTTTGCCCACTCTCACATATTTGACTGGGCTCGCAGTTTCCTCCTCACTTTCTGAGTTTGGTTTGGTCCCAGATGCTCAAATTCAGTTTGCTCTCCCGGCTCCCCGACACGGCCCGCCGCTGCCTGCCTCATAAAGCGTCTGCGCGCTCCCAGCGTGAAGCTGAAGTGGAATTCCACGCAGCCTACCCGGCACAGTTAGTCCAGTCACTGTTGCCCGTCCCCGCCTCAGGACCTAGAGGACGCAGCCCATTTGGGTCGGGCCCATCCCGTCCCTTATTGGTTCATTTTTAAGGAACCAGCAAGAAAGCCTGAGGAGCAAACAGTTAAGTAGAAGGAAAACTAAGAATGTGGTAGCCTGAAAACCAAGTGGAGAATGTATACCAAATCTGTTGATAGGTCCAGTAAGAAGAGAAATAAAAACTGACCATTGGATTTAGCAAAGTGAAGGTCATTTACGATTATCATGACAAGTGCAGTTTCAGTGGCAGTGGAGGTGAAAGGTGAATGCAGTGGACTGAAGAAAGAATGGGGGGAGGAAAAGTGGTCACAGTGAGTCACAGAGGACACCTTCAAGGTTCTGCTGCAAACAGAAGAGAAATGAGACAGCAGATGCAGGGAAGGTGGTTTAAAAACAAAGGGCTATTAATAGTTTCAAGATATGGTAAGAGCTGATATATCCAGCATTCTCTCAACTATTAATACTACTGAGACAAAAATACTATTAAAAAGCTCATCATTGGGGCTGGCCTGTTAGCTCAGTTGGTTAGAGAGGGGTGTTATCCTGGGTTTGGATCCCTGTACCAGTGAGCCACCAAAAAAATCCAAACCGAAAACCAAAAAGTACGTTATTGTACTTGATGATAAATTTTGCACACAATGATCTAATCACTTTATAATTATTCAGTGTTTAAAATACAATGTGGGCAAAGCTTTAAAATTTGATAACACCGAGTCTTCTCAAGGATATGAAAAAACTGGTCCTCCAATATACCATGAGAAGATAAACTGGTCCAGCCTTTTTGGAGAATAATTAGTATCAAAAATTTAAATGTGATCACTCTTTAGCTCAGATAAAGTCCTAAAGAAATACATGTGCACATATCTAAAGATGTCATATAAATATCAGTAAAGTTTGCTTGTAATTGTGAAAAATTCCAGAGAACCTAATAAATCCATTTGTAGGAGAATGGCTAGTTAACAATGGTACACCATGCAACCACTGTTAAACAGATGTCCAAGATCTATGAGGTTAAAAAAAAATAACTGCAGAGCAAATCTTATCCGGGTAAAAGAAAATATGCATACCTATACAAAGAATACTTTTGAAAAAATACACAAAAAAACTTAATGGTAGTTGCCTCTGGGGAGTTAGAATAGGGAGAGAAAAGAAAGGAAAACTTTACATTTTATCTTATAGCTCTAAATATTTGAATTTTTACCATTAGAAATAATTTTAAGTATACAGTTTAAAAATAAATTGAAAGTTTAAATATAGTTTAAAATCAACTAAAGAAATATACTGTAAAGAACTGGAATGGGCTGGCCGATTAGCTCAGCTGGTCGGAGTGCAGCATTATAACACCAAGGTCAAGGGTTCGAATTCCCATACCAGCCAGACACCAAAAAAAAAAAAAAAGAACTGGAAGAAACATAAAACAAAGAAGCTTACAACCAAATGACAAGACAACCCAATAAACTAAATGATATTTATGTAAGTTTAAGACAAAAAGATATAGTAAGAAAATGTATCGACACACACATGCACGCATGCATGCGCGCACCTACACACACATGAAGAAAATATGTTACTGAAAGTCCCTTGAACACAACAGGCATAAGTGGCACCAGTGAAGTTCAAAGCTGGTAGGTATAGTAGAAATGTCCACTTTAATATAAAAGATAAGACTATATGGGGTGGCATTTTATGTCTTGAATAGGTCATGCTGTCTTATAAATACTTTACCTTTCCCAACTCACCAATTCACTGTTCATTAAATACTAGATCCAAGGAGGTGGCCCTTGGCTCATAAAAAAATCCTTCTACACAAGGGCTGCCTCTGCCCAAAACCACTCCATCCCGGGGTATTCACTAGAGTCCCCACTACTACTGGCAGCCACTGTAAATAAAAATGTTGGAGCTTTAAGACAACATGTAATTTCTGAAGTAGAAAATACTGTTTTTAAAAAAATCAGGAGCACCGGGGCTGGTGGGTTAGCTCAGTTGGTTAGAGCACAGTGTCTGTAACACCAGGGTTAAGGGTTTGGATCCCTTACCCACCAGCTGCCCAAAACAAAAACAAAAAACAAAACAAAACAAAACAAAAGCAGGAACACTAAGGTCAAGGGTTCAGATCCCCATACTGGCCAGTTGCAAAAAAAAAGAAAGAAACTGACAACTGACCCCAGATAAGACCAATTTATTTGACAGTCCTTTGTACTAAACTGTCTTTCTCTTTAGATCATTTATTGTGGGCTGGGTGGAATCCTAATCACTGGACCATAATTCATTAATGTTATCAAGAATTCTTTTTTTTAAAACAACGTCCTTGGGGCCGGCCCGGTGGCGCACTCAGTAGAGTGCGGCGCTTGGGAGCGCAGCGGTGCTGCTGCCAAGGGTTTGGATCCCATATAGAGACCGGTCTGCTCACTGGTTGAGTGTGGTGCGGACGCGACACCGAGGGTTGTGATCCTGTTACCAGTCAAGAAAAAAGACAAAAAAAAAAAAAAAAAGTCCTTGTATCATATTTTTTCACTTAGCCAAGAGCATCTGTTCTGAGATTTCTGGGTGGGGTGGAAAGGTGCAGGGAGTTTGAGGGTAGAAAGGGGTAACAAAGGGCAAGGAAGCCAGCAGAGTCTGATGGACACAGAGGATATGTGCAGAAGTACAGAAAGGTCAGTTCTGCCTAGGCCTAGACCTCAGTCCAGGAATGAGGAAGGGAACATCTCGACACCTGTTTTCCTCCATCATTACCTAAGCCTACAGCTTCCACAACCCAGAACAGACCAGTACAATAACATTATGCGTGA